TTGCTGGGGGCGGCAGAAATGCTGGAGCCGGCCCTGGGGGTGAAAGAAGCAGCAACTGGGGTCGGACCTGAGGCTAAAAGAGACCTTGTCCCTAGTGCTAGAGAGCTGTATGTATCCGCTGTACCAAGCCCCACGTACTATCAATGCTCAGGAATGACATCATTAACACTGACATGCATCTGACGAAGTGGATATTCACCCACGAAAGCTTATGCTCCAATACGTCTGTTAGTCTATAAGGTGCCACAGGACTCTTTGTCGCTTTTTACCGTTAACATTATTATGGCAGAAGGTTTCGGGCCAGGTGTTCAGAAGCATCAGGCAGACGAAGGGGCAGACAAAATGCATGTGCCATTTGCCATTCAAATTAGGTGCCTAAATTGGCATGCTGAACATTCTGGGAATTGGGATCCAACTGCAAAAATCACTGATCTTTCTTTTGCTGTTCTAATGTTATTTCTTTTAAGTGATTTTGTCCAGCTCTTAACAAAAATCTCCCCTATAACTGGAATAAAATGTAATGCTGATCAACGTCAAGGAGCTAAAAGCAAAACTGAAAGCTCAGTGCCGAGGCAGTGTGATCTGTCACGCTGGTTGAAGGGACAGTGCAGCTTTGAAATGGCATGCATCCGATGAAGTGGGTTTTAGCCCACGAAAGCTCATGCTCAAATAAATTTGTTAGTCTCTAAGGTGCCCCAAGGACTCCTCATTCTTGGAAATCCTGACGTCCTGAGCCAGGGAGGCTGGGGGTGGAGCTTTGTCTGGGGATGCACAGGAGGATCTTGTCCCCAGTATTGACAAAACCTTTTCACTGCTGATCAAACTGACATGGAATGAAACCAGCCCAGTAACTCTCAGGAGAGTCCCTGGCTGGGGTGGCTGCTGGGTTACTGGGGAACCCTGAATATATCTTAGTGACATCATCACGCACCCCATGCTGGGTAATGAACTTACACTGGTCAGGTTTCTGACCAGGGCAAGACGGTTCAGTTTTGGGGTGCAAGGCTGGGGGCTTGACAGATTTGCTGGTGCCTTTCTCTGTGTGATTCGTGAGCGGCTGTGCGAGCATTCATGCAATCTAGCTGGGTGTGGAGCGCCACCTCCTGTTGTGCTGAGTGATCACAGCGCCTGGAGGGGTTTTCTGCTTGTCACTCGCGAAGCATTGTGAGAGTCAGCCCAGGCTGGAGAGTTAAGGGGGCCCAGCAGAACCCCAGTTCCAGGTTGTACCCCAGGGATCCCATTACAAGGACCCCTGAGCAAAGGCAAAGGTTGTGGGCGCTCTCAGGGGTTAACGAGGAAATGCCCAGCACCCATGGCCACCGTGTGAGCTGTTTCTCCAGTGTCCTGCCCCTTGAGCCCCCGCCCCAGCTGTGCCAGAGACGAGCATGACTCCTCTGAGCCAGGCCAGCGGTCTGCGGTCCTGGGTGCCAGAGCACAGACGTGTTCAGCAGGATTGTTATTGCCATTAACGCCGTAGCCCGGAGCCTCCAGAGCAGGCTGGGATGCAGAGATTCGGGGAACCTTCAGCTGAGTTCCAACGCCCATCACGAGCAGTACCATGGACTCCTCTCCAAGTACCCATCCTCAGCCCTCCCACCCTTTGCCTAGTCAGACTGTGAGCTCCTCGGGGCAAGGGCAGTGCACGTTGGGACAGGATCTCGGGTGGGTCCCCTAGGCATCGCCGTGACACAGCTAATAATGGAGATCAGCTCCTGTGGCCCCAGCATCTTTGCATTAACGTCTTTGTTCCTGGGCAGCTCACAGCCCAACTAGCTGAGTTGCTCTCGCTCTCTTACCTGGGCTGACACAGGCCTTGAGACATTCATTTTTACTGGCAAACCTGTTCCCATTGCCCTCGCAGCCGCCATAAACAAACTCCTCACAGCTGTTGGTGACCGAGCTGTAGAAGTAGCGGGTCATGTAGGAAAAACATGAGCCAGCATCCACAGGGAGCTTGCAGACCTCTTTAACTACAGAAGAAAGACAGATGGGTTAGGAGAAAAGGGGGGTCCTCTGCAAAGAATCTCAACTTCCTCATTTGAAACTAACAGGCTCTTGGGCTCCAGGCTGGTTGTGAGGTGCAGAAGCTGGGATAGGAGATGGGGCTAAAAGAAGACCTTGACCCTAGCACCTGACAGCTGTGCGAGTGTATCTGGTGTATCAGCACCCTGTCAAACCCATGCTCAAGAATTACGGCATTTAAATGATAAGCTGAAGAACGTTTAGGGCCAGGATTGTCAGGCAGACAAATGGGCAAGCCAAATGTATGTGCAATTTTTCATGCAGATTAGGTGCAAATGGTAGGAGGGAAATCAGCAGAATAAAGACAATGGAATTCTAGAAATCACCCCTTAGCAAACTCCGAGAATTGATAGGTAAGATCCCACGGGAAGCAAGTCTAAGGGGGGAAAAGAGTTCAGGAGAGTTAGCTGCTTTTTATTAAGAGCACAAGCGCAAACTATCTCAAAGTATAGGAAAGATAGGAAGTCTGGTAAGAGACCACCCTGGCTTACCCAGGAGATCTTCAACGACCTGACACTCAAAACGGAGCCATACGAAGAGGCTCAAATTATGAAGGATGAATATAAAAACAACAACACAAGCATGTAGGGACAAAATTAGAAAGGTCCTGGCACAAAATGAGATCAAACTAGGCTAGGGACATAAAGGGTAACAAGGAAACATTTTACAAATACATTAGAAGCAAGAGGAAGTCCAAGGACAGGGGAGGGGGAGGAGAGAAAGACAATAACAGAAAACACAGCAATGACGGAAGCATTAAATGTCTTTTTTCTTTCAGTTTTCACCAAAAAGGTTAGCAGTGATCGGGTGACTGATATAGTGAACATCAGTGTAAACGGGGCAGGCTCTGAGGCTGAAATAGGGAAAGAACAAGTTAAGAATGACTTAGACAGGTTAGATGCCTTCAAGTTGGCAGGGCCTGACGAAATACATCCTAGAATACTTAAGGAACTGACTCAAGAGATTTATGAGCCATTAGCATTTATCTTTGAGAACTCATGGCTAAGGCTACGATTTTGTCATGGAGGTCGCAGAAGTCACGGAATCTGTGACTTCCAAAGACCTCCGTGAGACTTCACCCCCGGCAGCTGGGAGCTGCAGGGTCCCATCGCCTCCCGCAGCGGCAGAGAGTTGCGAGGTATCCCTGCCGCCTGAGGCACTAGGCCCCCAAGCTCTGAGCTGCCATGACTAGCAGGGGTACCCCGCAGCTCCCTGGCCACCGTGGGGGGCAAGGGCATCCTGGAGCTCTGAGGTCCCACAGGTGGTGAGGGCCCCGCAGCTCCCAGCCACCCCACGGCTGCCCAGCCCCTCCCCATTTTATGAGGGATATTTTTAGTAAAAGTCAGGGACAGGTCATGGGCTTCCATGAATTTTTCTTTATTGCCCGTGACCTGTCCCTGACTTTTACTAAAAATATCCATGACAAAATCTTAGCCTTACTCATGGAGGATCAGAGAGATCCCAGAGGACTGGAAAGGGGCAAATATTGTACCTAGTCATAAAAAGGGGAATAAAGACAACCCAGGGGATTATAGACCAATCAGCTTCACTTCAGGACCCAGAAAGATAATGGAGCAAATAAGCAAACAATCAATTTGTAAGCACCTAGAAGATAATAAGGGGATAAGTAACAGTCAATATAGATTTGTCAAAACAAATCATGTCAAGCCAACCTAGTATCCTTCTGTGACAAGGTAACAAGACTTGTGGATGGTGGGGACTGGTAGATTTGATGCATTTTGACTTTGGTAAGGCTTTTTGATACTATCTCACACAACCTTCTCATAAACAACTAGAGAAATATAGCCTAGACAAACCTATGATAAGGTAGTGCACAACTGGTTGGAAAAGCATACTCAGAAAGTAGTTATCAATCGTTCACAGTCAAGCTGGAAGGACATATCGAGTGGGGTCCTGCAGGAATCTCTCCTGGATCTGGTTCTGTTTGCTATCTTCATAAATGATTTGGATAAATGCATCAAGACTACTCAGAAAGTTTGCAGATGATACTAAGCTGGGAGGGGTTGCAGTGATTTGAAAGACTGGATTAAAATTCAGAATTATCTTTACTAACTGGAGAAATGGTCTGAAGTAAACAGGATGCAATTCAATCAGGACAAATGCAAAGTATTCCACTTAGGAAAGAACAATCAGTTGCACACATACAAACTGGGAAATAATTGCCTAGGACGGAGTACTGCGGAAAGGGATCTGGGGGTTATAGTTAAGGCTGCGAGTCTGTCACGGAGGCCATGGAAAGTCAGGGATTCCGTGACCTCTGTGACTTCTGCAGTGGCTGATGCAGCTGGCCCAAGGGCTGCCTGGCCAGCTCGGGCAACCCCTGGGCCAGTCACACCGGCCGCTGCTGGGGCAGTCTCGGACCACCACGCCCCACATCCTCCAGCAGGAGTTTGGGTGTGGGAGGGGGCTCAGGGCGGGGGCAGGGGGTTGGGGCGCAGGGGGTGGGTATGGGCTCCAGGCGGCGCTTACCTCAGGGCAGCGCCCCGGAATTGGCAACACATCCCTCGGCTCCTAGGCAGAGGCGCAGCCAGGCCCCAGGTCGCTCCCCCTCCCCCCGAGCACCCAAATTTAGTCAGGGGTATATTGGACAAGTCATGAACAAGTCATGGGCTGTGAATTTTTGTTTACTGCCCGTGACCTGTTCATGGCTTTTACTAAAAATATCCGTGACTAAAATGTAGGCTTAGTTATAGTGGATCACAAACTAAATACGAGACAACAATGTAATACTATTGCAAAAAATACCGAACATCATTCTAGGGTATATTAGCAGGAGTGTTGTAAGCAAGAGACAAGACGTCATTCTTTCAATCTGTTCAGCACTGATAAGGCCTCTGCCAGAGTACTGCATCCAGTTCTGGGCACCACACTCCAGGATAGATGTGGACAACTTGGAGAAAGTCCAGAGAGCAACAGAAATGATTAAAGGTCTAGAAAACATGACCTATGAGGGAAGATTGGAAAAACTGGGTTTGTTTAGTCTGAAGAAGAGAAGACTGAGGGGGGACATAATAACAATCTTCAAGTATGTAAAAGGTTGTTATAAAGAGGAGGGTGACAAATTGGTCTCCTTATTTATTGAAGACAGGGCAAGAAGCAATGGACTTAAATTGCAATAAGGGCGGTTTAGGTTGGACATTAGGAAAAACTTCCTAACAGGGTGGTTAAGCGATGGAACAAATTGCCCAGGGAGGTTGTGGAATCTCCGTCACTGGAGGTGTTTAAGAGCAGGTTAGACAAACCCCTGTCTGGACCATCCCAGGTATTCGAAGGTTTATTGAAAATCAGCCCTGTGGCTCCGGCATCTTTGCATTAATGTGCCTCTGGCCTGGGCAGATCACAGCCCAACCGAGTTTCCATCATCACGGTACCTGGGCGTCCACATGTCTGGAAACATTCGTCTTTGGTGGCAAACCTGTTCTCGTTGCCCTGGCAGCCACCGTACCTGAACTCCTCACACTTCTTGGTGGCCGAGTTGTAGAAGTACCGGGTCGTGTAGGCCTGACACGGGCCAGGCTGCACAGGGAGCTGGCAGATCTCTACATCTACAGAATAAAGAGAGACAAGTTAGGAGGAAAAGGGAGGAACTCTGCAATTCAAAACTAACTGGGCCCAGTCTTGTGGGGGTTGGGGGATGCGAGGTGCAGCAGCGTGGTGGGAGTTGGGGCTACCAGACAACTTTGTCCCCAGTGCACGAGAGCTGTGAGTGTATCAAGACCCTGTGTGAAACCCAGTCTCAAGAATCACAGGCTGTAGACATGCTCAGCAGGATTGTTATTGTCATTATGTCCCTAGCAGGGGCTTCCAGAGCAGGCTGGAGTGCAGCTACCAGGACTCGGGGGACCTTCAGGTGAGTTCACTCCCCTCATGAGCTGTACCATGGACTCCTCTCAAAGCACCCATCCTCAGCCCCTCCTCCCCTTTGTCTAGTGAGACTGCGAGCTCCTCGGGCAAGGGCTGTCTCTGTGTGTCTGTGCAGCGCCTGGCACGCCGGGGTCCTGATCTCTGTCGGAGCCTCTAGGCACTGCTGTGATGCAGCCAACCAACCATGGAGATGAGCCCCTGCAGCCCCAGCATCATTGCATTAATGTCTCTCTCACCTGGGCAGCTCACAACCCAACTAGCTGAGTTTCTCTTGCTCTCCTACCTGAGCTTCCACAGGTCTTGAGACATTCGTCCATATTGGGAAACCTGTTCGCATTGCCCTGGCAGCCGCCGTAAATGAA